GGGTGTGGCTAAATGTGACGTCATAGTAGGAACGTTTGCAGATAACTCCATTCCGTTACAGGGGAAAATGATGCTTTATTCTCATGCCTTGTAACGTAATCACACTAATTTAAAGATTGGGATCATTAGCTCTCATTATTCTAAACAGCAACTGCAAGAAAAATTCATAACGCTACACTTTGGTGAATTTTCTTGTTCACTATTCTGAGGCTTTTTTGGAGTAGCATACTTAAGTAATGAGAGCTAATGATTCCGATCTTTAAATTAGTGCTATGACATGAGAATAAAGGATCATTTATCCCTATATAGGAATGGAGTTATCCGCAAAGATTTGTACTATGACGTCACGTTTAGCCACACCCACCGATTGGAAGTAACATTCCAGGAAGCAAAATCGCAACGTTTTTCATGACTTTGAAGGCTTATATCTTAGTAAATAATTATTTTTTGACCGTGGGATTTGGAACACATTATTACTATGGATAGGTAATCATATGTGACCATAATTGACAAAAGGGCCCTTATGGCGGATTTTAAAATTGATCGTTATAATGGAAAATATCAACCTGTGAGTGCTTTGTTAGACAATCATTGTTTCTAAAAGTTTCATAGTAACTTTTTGCATCCTGTGGAGTAATTTTATGATAAATGGGGCTCAGGAAGTTGGATTTCTTAGGCTAGAAAGGCAAATTTCACTACCTGCCATAAGGTACCTTTTGTCAATTATGGTCACATATTACGGCCATAAAATAAGACTGCCAATTTCTGTAATAGAATAGCGACTCTATAAATTTTCCTTTATTCTCCTTTTCATTTTATTAGGTAATGTAGGCTCATCTTTTTTAATAATTATCATGGTTGTGTATATAATTTAAAGTAGAGGCTAAGTAGCTGAGCAAGAGGTACATTTTTCTCCTAAAGATAAGTCTTGAACACTTGGAATGGGGTAATAATGGTAGCCATGCATTGTAGTACATCTTAATTCTGCCATGAAGGTAGAAGGTGAGAAGTAGTGCGATCTTGTCCTACAACAATTTTAATAACTCCCTTCTGTTCCAAAATTATGTTAATGACATTAGCAATGAAACCCCATCTAGTTCTTATGTCAGCTATTACACTGATCATTATTCTTTTCTTACATTTCTCTAAGAGATCTCTTGCTCGTGCAACTATAGGAAATAGCAGCGATGACTTTTTAGCATAATGTCATGGCACAATCAATGCGATTATGCACTAATCTCTTGTTAATAGAAGGTCCAAATTCTGACCATAACAACATACTCGAGTCCAGTGTAAAGTATTACAATCTAGTTTAATATTGGTTCCATCATTAGTTGCAAACGCAACTTACTTTTGCTAGTCCAATCTTCTAAAATTAGCCCATGAATGTTTTTCCCAGTGTGATCTTGAGGAACATACAGGGCTAATGAGTCTGCATAGTTCAGTTTGAATCAATATAGTAAATTGTATAGACTATAAACAGATCGCTAACCAAGGATCAGACATAGATGAAAAGAAAAAATTAAAAATAGCACCAGCAAAAGCTAGTTTGCTTTCTAAACAGAGATGAGTGTCATCCAAAAGTAGAGAAATAGGAAGTCTACTAAAGTAATCTTTGTCAGGTAAGTCGTACTGGGTATTAATTACACATATCATTTCTCGAAAACCAGGGTTGTCCACTAAGGATATAGGCAACATTTTCTTAGCCAGAACGGTAGCTATTGGCTTTGTCATCATTTTATGCTTCTTAGATCTGTGCTTCTTTTCCTCAGGCTGCTGCATAGACTCTTCTATAGTTAACTGGCCACTGCTTTTAGATAGCTTGTTGTTTCCAGGATATTTAGTACTGTTAGAATAAGTTTTGCTGATGTTGTGGTACTCTTCAGGTTTGAAATGTTCTTACGTAAACGTGTTTCTGCACTTGGCTACAACAGTTTTAGACATATCTTGCATTTAGGACTGTCAAATTTTGTTGGCTGACCGTTTTATTTGAAACAAATCCAGAGTACTTCCACACGTGACTTGGTGTTTTTCTTTAGAACAAGTTTCTGGAAGCCAATATTAGACGGGCTAGAAAAAGTGCTAGGGAACATTAGAGCTATCTCTTTCGCAGTCTTTCCCAGACTCTTCAAGTTCAGGTTCATCAAAACTTTCCAATACTGCTTCAGCCATTTTTAATTTAGTATCATGTGCTATATGAAAAATTGAAAATTTGTTATAGGTTTATTAGAAAATTTAGAAGTATTAGGACATTTACTTAGCATACCACAGTGTAAATGCAAAACTGGAATACCATTCAACACTAGCTAGACTAGTGTCGCCCTGCCCCTTCGCTGGATGAGGATTGGACTGGAGACACTTGAAGTTTTTTTTAGTCCTTGCGCTGTAAGTATGTGCACCAATCAGACTGCTCCAACCATGTGGTACTAACTGCAAGCTTGTCAATAACACTGAATATCACATGATAAAATTTAATAAAATGGTGTCTATAGAATAGGTAGAATTGGAAGGAGTTTCATGAGTTGTTACAGGGTCTGGAGTTTAAAGAGAAGTCAAGAATGAACAGCAGATAGGCATCAAAAAGTTTGTTGTTAATGAATAAGATAATTTCTTGTGCCTGCTGACAGGATTTAGAGGCAAATCATTGTCAATCACTACTCAGATTCAGTACTGCCATATGGCCTCTGCTAAATCAGCTCTGGAACAGAAAAACTCTTCCTTAGTCCCCTGATCAATGATTAAAGCTTGTGAGTTTGCCTATTGATGAGCAACAAGTTACAAAATGGTTAGTTCACTTAATAATTGTTATCTAATAATTATGTGCAGTGTTACAGGGGTACACACTTTTATGGAAGTTCAGGAACTACTTTTACCTTATCTACAAATGATACTTCTAATAGCCATGGCTTTTACAGTTCTTATTATCATTAGTATAGTTTACAATTTTATGCTATTTTGGTGTTGTTAAACATACTCTTACTCTGATAACGAAATGAATTTGATGAATAGATGAAGAATGGGGAAAAACAAAACATATTAACGTTAAAAACTGAGTTTTAGCAATAATTCCTTCTTTATACTTGTAGTAGCCATGTTTGGAGGGTGTGTCCATCACATAAAATTAACACGTGGGTGCATCTGGTCAAGTGATCAAGCTGCACTAATTACATTCCATTGTGTCCAACAAAAGCTTTGTGTCGTCACACCCTTCCTCCTCCAGCGAAGGGGGAGGGCCAGACTACAACTGGACACAAAATGAGACACTTCCATTTTGGCTGCCATTTTAAAAGTAATAACTACTATATCTGATGTTTTTTAACTAGTTGCTTTTAATTTTGAAATGATAGTCATTATGTTACTTGTGGATTGGTAGTTAACCACAGACATTAAACAACTGCATTATCTGCAAGTGGCTTCATCGAATGTGTATTTATGTGTCATTTATGGGGAGCCAAAAGAGACAACAACCCTAAATTTAAAGCCTAGCCTCCTGCTTCCAAAATTAG